ATGTCATTCACTCCAAATTATAAAGTCAGCACAGACCCACAGGTCCAGAAGACTTTTGTAGAAGTTAACTAATTCATGAAAGTTTTATATGAAAAACTCAATTCGAATAGCCAAAATAATTTTGAAAAAGCATAACAAAGTTGGAGAACTTTACCTTATCTGATTCTAAGACTCACTCTGACTATAGTAGTCAGGACATTGTGCTGTTGGCAAAGAAGAGAGACATAGATCGATGAGAGAAAGGGTCCAGAATTAGATTAGACCCATGTATATATAGACTATTGATTTTCAGCAGAGGCCGCAAGGCGGTTTGGTGGAGAAAGGACAGTTTTGTCAACAAACTGGTGCTAGAACAATGGCAGAAGTGTAAAAGACAAACAAAAAAGAAAAACCAAAACACGAACACGTACCTCAAAGGATACCTAAAAATTAACCTGAAATGAACCATAGACTTGTATGTACAATCTAGACGAAAACCTTTAGTTACTAGGGAAATGCAAATTAAACGCACAGTGGCTGCCATCATGGCTCTTATTAGAATGCTTAAACAAGGGAAAGGGGTTGAAACCAACCCCACAGGAAGCACTGACAAGTGCAAGCAGTCACCGAAACTTGTAGATCGCTCTACAAATGCCAAATAATAGTATGTCCACTGTGGGACATGGTGTGTAGCATTTTCTTATAAAATTGAGCGGCAGTCACACCTCTAGATATTTACCCAAAAAGAAATGAAGATGCACTGATGCAGAAGCCTAGACATGAACATACAGAGAAGCTTTATTCCAAAAACTTGAAACAGGGTCAGTGCCTATCAGTTGGTGAATGGATAAATGACTAAACATGTATCTATGATGCAGTAATGCTCAGCAATAGAAACTCATCTATGGACACACTGAGTAATGTGAAGGAATCTGAAACTGGTGCTAAGAGAAAAATGGTGAACTGGAAAGACTTCACACCCTCCCTTCCTTCCATCTACCTTTTCTTTTCTTTTCCTCTCTTTTCTTTTCTTTTCTTTTCCTCTCTTTTCTTTTCTTTTCTTTTCTTTTCTTTTCCTCTCTTTTCTTTTCTTTTCTTTCTTTCTTTCTTTCTCTCTCTCTCTTTCTTTCTTTCTCTTTCTTTCTCCTTTCCTTCCTTCCTTCCATCTTCTTTCCCTCCCTCCCTTCTTCCCTCCCTCCCTTCCTCTCTCTTTCTCTCCCTCCCTCCCCCTCTTCCCCTCTTCACCTCTCCCTCTCCCCCTCGCTCTGTCTCTCTCTCCCCCTCTCCCCCTCTCCCCCTCTGCTCCTCATTAAAAGATGGTCAGTTTGTAATCTGTTAGTTTAAAAATGTGGTTAAAGAAAGGCAAGGATTTTCTTTATTTTCAGTTGTGTATATGTATTTTTTCAGTTTTTATTAGTACTGTTTGCAGTAGTGATTCTATTCCTCATTGGGAGTTGGTACGTGTACCTAACACATCTTAGTTCTTTATCCCCTCTCTTAACCCCTCCCTCCATCTCTAACTGCCCTATCCTTTTGCAAGAGGTCTATCTCCCGTTTTCCTATTATCTGTCTTCTATTTTTCTCTTTATTTACGTTTTGGATATCTCATATAAGGGACACTGTGGGGGCTGGGGATTTAGCTTAGCGCACAGTGCCTGTCTGGCAAGCATGAGGTCGTGAGTTCAGTTCCTGGTACTGGGGGGAAAAAAAATGTTATATTTAAACTCCTCTGTCTGATTTATTTCACTTAACATCTCAAGATGCAGCCATTTTCCTATAAATGATTCAAGTTTATCCTTTTATTGCAGAGTCATACTCCATTGTGTATAAATACATTTTCTTTAACCATTCATCTGTTGATGGATATATAGGCCACTTCCAAGATTTAGATATTATGAATTGTGCTGCTATAAACATGGGTATGCATGTATCACTGTAATATGATGTCCTTAACTCTTTCAGGAAGATACTTAGAAGGACAATAGCTAGGTCAAATGGAATTTCTAGTTTCAATATTTTGAGGAATCTCCATTCTGATTTCTATATCAGTTGAAGTAATTTACATTCACACCAAAAATGTAGAAGGGTTCCTTTTTCCAACAGCCTTGCAAGCATTTGTTATCATCTGACTTCTCGATAGCCAGTCTTTCTGGAGTCAGATGGGATCTCAGTGTTGTTTCAGTTTGCATATCTCTAATAGCCAGAGATGTTGAGCATTTCTTCATGTGCTTATTGGCCATTTGTACTTCTTCTGAGAAGGGTTCATTCATTTCAGTTGCCCATTTTTTGATTGGGTCTTTTATGTTGGAGGAGTTCTACTAGTTTTTAGCTCTTTGAATTTTTTTTTTTTTTTTTTTTTTTTTTGGTTTTTCTCTGGTACCGGGAACCGAACTCATGACCTTGCGCTTGCCAGGCAGGCGCTTTGCCGCTGAGCTAAATCCCCAGCCTCTAGCTCTTTGAATATTGTAGATATTAGTCCTTTGTCTGAGGAGTAGCTGGCACATTTTTCCCCATTATGTAGATTCTCTTCATTCTGTTACTTGCTTCCTTTGCTGTGCAAAAGCTTTTAAATTTATGTTCCCGTTTGTTGATTCTTGTATTATTTTTGGTACAGTTGGGTTGCTGTTTAGAAAGTCCTTTCCTACACCTATGTCTTTAAGAGTTTTACCAATTTTATCTTCCAACAGATTGTTTCTGTTTTGACATTTAGATCTTTGATCGATTTTGATTTTAGTTTAGTGCATAGTAAAAGAGATGGTGTTGCGCCAGGCGTGGTGGTGCACACCTGTAATCCCAGCACTCGGGAGGTGGAGGCAGGAGGATCGCTGTGAGTTTGAGGCCAGCCTGGGCTACATAATGAGCTCAAGGCCAGCCAGAACTACATAGTGAGACTCTGTCTCAAAAAAAAAAAAGATAAGGTGTTGAGTGAGTCTTCTGCATGTAAATAGCAGCTTTCCCAGTGCCATTTGTTAAGAAGATATCTTTGCTCCAGTGTACGTTTTTTGGCCTCTTTGTCCAAGATCAGATAGTTGGATGAGGCAAGGATTTTCAGTGGTGCCACCTTCACAGAAAGAGAGATAGCCACTTATTATATATCCCCTGGTGGAAGTAGACATCACCACGTAGGGTTTTTGCCAAAACCTGTAAAGCTGAATCATATACCGATTTCTAGTCTAGATATTCTGAAGATATGCAGAATAGAGACCTATGTTGTTATCATCGGGTGCGATCAGTAAAATCCAGACCCTCATGAACTTCTGTAAGACCCAGTTGGAAAATGAAATAGAGAGGGTATTTACAGAATAGGAAAGACTTGAGACATAAGCTAATTGTAATGTGCATATCTTCTTTGGATCTTGATTTAATCAAGAAGTGAATAGGTATGTATGTCTACATATATATTCGTATGCTATTTGAGGAGATTTGCACATGGATAAATATATGTTGATATAAATGAATTAATAGTTTGTCTGAAATTCACCTTAGTGACATATGTTTGTGGGCAAATGGGGCATATAAAGGAAGTAAAGTTTTTTTTTTTTTTTTTTGGTTTTTCTCCGGTACCGGGAACCAAACTCACGACCTTGCGCTTGCCAGGCAGGCGCTTTTTGCCGCTGAGCTAAATCCCCAGCCCCCTAAAGGAAGTAATGTTGACTGGAAGCAGGTAATTGTCAAAGCTGTCTGAGGAATATACAGGGGTCCATGGTACTGCTCTCCGTTTATGTGCTTGCAATTCTATAGAATAAAGTAATGCAGCAAATATCAAGTACTGAGTATGTGCCTTGCGCCGTGCCAGGTACGTGTTTTGCAGTGGTCAATAAATGGATGTAATTGTCATTTATCATATGGAACTTTCAGTCTCCAGGAAGAAACAGATGATAAAGAAATAGTATATTGGGGCTGGGGATTTAGCTCAGCGGCAAAGCGCCTGCCTGGCAAGCGCAAGGTCGTGAGTTCGGTTCCCGGTACCGGAGAAAAACCAAAAAAAAAAAAAAGAAATAGTATATTATAAGTTGAGATCTGTAAAGGACTATGATCTATAAAGGGCTACGTGGTCGTAGAGAATATGTACCAGGGAAAGAACTACTTCTGAGCTGCATGGGGTGGGCCTCCCTGAGAAGGGGACATTTCAGTGAAGAGCTGAAGGATGAAAGGAGCTAGCCTAGCAGAGACTGCAGCAGGTTGCATGAGGGGCAGACAGGCTGTGTGAGGAAGCGCTTGATGTGGATCTACTTATTCTCTCCGATCTGAGTGCACGGACTTGAGCATGCAGCCACGTGTTGGTGCGGTGCTTCTTTGGTTGACTGTGTTTGTGTGTGTCTAACCTCAGATGGAATTGAAGTACAAACTCTAGAACTGCTTCTAAGGCCTGCTGTAGTTTCACATGCCCTGGGTGGATATCAATAGAACTTGCCTTTTGATAAGTACTTTTTTACATATAGACTTGTCAAAAGTCTCTGAAAGGGTAGATAAGAATAGTCTCCTGACTTCGAACAAATGAATCAGCAGTTAAAATGTCGCATGCCCTATTTCCTAATCTTGGAAATAGAAGAAACATGTTTTGGGTTCTGGATTATGGTTTGCTATGATAGCAACAACAAATCCTGTCCTTTAGTTACCTTCTGACTGTTACAGTAGAAATAAACATTGCTTTTTGAAGTACCTGCATTTCATACAATGAATAAAAGATGTTGTTATTATTATGTATATAAGTATTATATTTTCCAGTGATAAATATGAATCAGGCCCAGTGGAGAGACTCAATAAATGTTAAATAAATAAGAAACTGACGTTTTGTATAGACTTTTCCTTTGCCAAAGCCTTCTCCTTGAGTCTGTACCAGCGCCCTCTCCCCCATATTTCTTTAGGTAATTCTTTTCTACTCATTTGTGTTCTTTATTTTGGAAAGACCATCTTCTTGCTGACCCACGTCCTAATATTCTGGGCCAGAGTGTCTGTGTATGGCGGGGAGGTGTGACTTATTTCTGTGATGTACTCATTTCCATTTTGTTCCCCTCTAGATATATTACAGACGCCACGCTTGCCATTGTGAAGGGAGAGACCATTCCACTTGATGTCCTGCAGATCAAGGTGAGGTCTCTTCCTCAGATTTTGAAAAAATTATCACAGTGATACACACGTGTTAAATGTAGCCACTCAAATGCAGTTTTGTTGAATGCAACTGTCCCTCTTCCCTTCCTATGCCAAGTATTTGTCCCTAGAGAAGAAACTTTACCTGTTCATTCTATTTCTTATCAATAGTTGATATGCTTAGGATCCAACTTTTTTTTTTTTTTTTATCTTTTTGAGACAGGGTCTCGCTGTGCAGTTCAGGCTGGCCTTGAGCTCACTTTGTAGCCCAGGCTGGTCTCGAACTCGCAATGATCCTCCTGCCTCAGCCTCCCGAGTGCTGAGATTACAAGTGTGCACCACCATTCCCGACAGGATCCGACTTTTTAAAAAAATTGTAGGAGGGCCTGGGACTGAAGCTTATTGGGAGAGAGCTTGCCTAGCATGGGTAAAGCCCTGCATTCGATCCCCAGTAGTACCAAAAAAGGTTGGAAAATTGTGATGCAGGATCATATATCATAAAATTTACCTTCTCAGCCTTTCAAGTGTGTAGTGCAGTCGTGTTGAATGCATGATGCCCATTGAGGGTGTATCAGTTTTAGGCCTTAGCTCAATCTCTTTGTCATGTATAGGAATTCTTAGTTAGGCGTGGTGGCTCATGTTTCTCACTTTAGCTACTCTGGAGGCTGAGGCAGAAGGATCACAATTTGAGGCCAACTGCGCATTTTAGTGTGAGACCCTCTGTCAGAATAAAAAATGGCTAGGAGTGTAGCTTTATTGTTTTATATCTCTTTCTAATATAGAAGTGTCTCTGTTGGTTACCTTTGGACCACAGATAACCACAAGCCATTGATCTACCTCCTATGGTTGTTTTAAGAGCTCATAAAGTACTTAGCACAGTGGCTGACTTTATCTTACCTTTGTATATGGTGGCTGCCTCTCTCTTTATGTCCTTCCAAGGGTGAAACCGTTCTCATGTTCCATCTTTCTCTGGAATGTAGATCACTTGGTGGGCTGTATGTCAGCTCTCTGACTGGCTTCCTAAAAGACAGGATTTTATAGATTATGTTTTTCTTATTTCTAGTGTGGGAGTAAGGTTCTTGTTTTAGAAATGTGTGTGCTGGCTGTGCCACCTGGAAGGGCCGAGAGGCGATGATGTCCCACACAGTGAGCATGCCCGAAATCCAGATTTTGGTCTTTTAGTGTATTCCCTCCTAAAAAATAGCCAGGACTCTGTGAAGTGGTGATTTTCAGAGGCAGAGGAAAAATAAGGCAAGGACATTCTCAAAAATTGATGCTAACTTCTCAGAAAGACATAAGAGGGTGATGGGCAGTTTAAATATCAAAAAGAATAATAATGCCTTAAGAAGTGGAGAATGCCCATTTCCATAGAAGAACTGGCTATTACAGAAGAATGGTTAGCTAGTAGCTATAGAAGGATAGAATAAAAGTATTCCCATTTTGCAGTCACTATTTTGATGATTCAAGTCAAGATCATCAATTGATATAAAAACCATTGGACAAGAAGCTGCTGAGAAACACATATCCAAACAGGCCACCAGTATTTGACAGCTTCTCCACGTTTAGAGTGGAGAATGTATCATGTGCCACTTCTCCCAAATTATCAAACGCGTGGTGTTGCCAGTAATGGAATAGCGGACATCGTCTGCCTTCAGAGATAAAGCACAGGGCAGACACAATGTCAGAAATGTAAGTTTCTTCCTCAAATGCTTAACTAATTTGAATCTAATGATAAGAAACTCATCAGACAGATCCAGATTGTGGGACATTCTAAACAACATTTTGACTAAGCTTCTTTAAAAAATGTCAATGTTAGGAAAGCCGAAAGGAGGTGGAAGTCTGCTTAATAGTAAGAGAAACTAAAGAAATAAAACCAAATCAGTATAAGATCCTGGACTGGAAAAATGAAAAGCAACGGCAGTCTTAATGATCATAATTATTGGGATGTTAGAGATCTTTTAATATGAATTATATATTAGAGATTATGTATTGATACTCAGTTTCTTTTTTCCCCCAGTACTGGCTTGAATCCAGGAGTACTCTACTACTGAGCTATATTCCCCACTGCCTTTTTTTGGTCTTTTTGTGAGAGAGTTTCATTGTACAGTTTGGCTGGCCTTGAACTCATTTTTTAGCCTAGGCTAGACTTGAACTCACAGTGATCCTCCTGCCTCGGCCTCTTGAGTGCTGGGGTTACAGGTGTGCACCACCATGCCTGGCTCCCAGCCCTTTAAAAGACTTTTTTGTTGTTGTTTTGTTTTACGTTTTGAGATAGGGCCTTGCTGAGTTTCCCATGCTGGCATTGAGCGTGCAATCCTCCTGCCTCAGCCTCCCAAGTAACTAGGATTGCCGTATGTACCACTGTGCCTGGGCTGGTGTTAGATATTTTGAGAGTGCCGTTGGTATTATGGTTATGTCTGTGTATGTCCATGCTCTTGGGAAATACATGCTGAAACATTTGAGGGTGAAGCTTCAACTTACTTGTAAATTGAACAACTCTGTAGGACAAGGCTAATATAGGGGAGATGTCGGCAGCAGTACATTTAAGGGAAAGGTATAAAAGGTGATCATGGTACTTTTTAAATTTTTGTTTTGGCATTTTCCAAAATAAAAATTGGAGGTAAGAGCAGAAGAGGGAAGTTGCAGTAGGCATTTTGAATTCTTGACCAGGATCCTCTCCTTAAAAATTAATTTAATTCCTAATTGAACAGATATTTTTACTGGGTAGTAGTTAAGTAACTATTCCTTCTTCATCTAAGCATTTTTTTTTTTCTTGGCAAAAAAGGGGGCAAATTCTTAAGAAGATAGAGCTGTGAAATTAAATCACTTTTTATGTACTCTACTCAGATTTGGCCTTAAAATATACCAGCTACATTCAGGATAAGTATTTATATTCATTCCTTTCCTAATATTTGCAAAAGAAGGGTCTGTGCTGTGACTTGATCCTAAACTTCTGTCTCCAAATGTTGCTGTTAGCTATCCTTAGCTTCTCTTTCTGAAAGTCCAAAATCTGGCCATGACCCAGAGTTTCAGATTTTTAGAAGATTTTGGACTTCTGGATTTGGAATGCTGAACCATAAGCTGTGAAGCCTATGCAGATTTTCCAGACTTCAAAAAAACTCCAGGATGGGCAGCACTTCTAGTTCCAAACGTTTCTGATAAGAGACTCTTGCACTGTATTAGACTTTGCCGTGTGCATCCTTACAATTGGTGGATGAACCTATGAGCTCATAGTCTATTTTCCTTTTATTTTTCTTTCTTCTTCTTGCGCTGATGTCTACACTCTTCACCACAGTCTCACTGGGCTTGTTAAAAGTGATTAAATCACCATTGATCTTTCAACATACAATAAATTGCTCTCACAAAATGGAAGGGCTGTGCTGAAAGAAATTCTACCCTAGTAAATATACTACAGATTCTTACCTATGGTATTATTTTAAAATATTTTTATGATTAAAGAAGGTGAGTCAGAATATGCATCTTAATAACTGAGCAATTTACTGTTTGTTTTGTATGTGTTAAAAGTAATACATTCCATAGTAACTAGAATTTAACTGGAAATTTAAATGTATTTAACATGTTCATGGTGGCGCTGTAATTTGTAACTCTCACTGCTGGGTGGTTTGAACCGCTGGTGGTACACGTATGTCTGTCCCATTGGGGGGCTTTTTATTAATTCTATTAGTTAAAAAGAGTAAAGAAAATGATTAGATGTGTTTATACTGCCCAGTGGGACAGTCATGCATTTCCACCCGTGCATCAAGCTGGTGGGAATGTGTTAAATGTCTCTTGTCTCCTTTTTCTTTTTCTTTGAAATACACTGATTTTGTGAATTGATGAAACCAGTGTCAAATTTACCACAGACTCTGTATTGACGACGCAACCCAGGAAGCGGAAAACTTTTAAATCAGTTCCTAGAAAATGTGGTGCCGCAGCCTTTACTGTGGTTTCTGAGGAACCCAGCTAAGTTGAATGGGTTTTCACTTTTCTTCCTATTTCTGGAAATTGCTTTCAGAATATGGGGAAATGCTTTAGAGACAAAGCCTGATACTGAATTCTTCTTCTTTTAGAGAGTAACCCGGGGGCCAGGGATGTAGCTCAGCGGCACAGCGCCTGCCTGGCAAGCACAGGCCCTGAGTTCAATTCCCGGTATCAAAAAAAAGAGAGAGAATAACCCAAATCCCAACATATAGCAAGCTATTTCCCAAAAATAAGAAATAGTTTTGGGAGGGGCTGGGGATTTAGCTCAGCGGCACAGCGCCTGCCTGGCAAGCGCAAGGTAGTGAGTTCGATTCCCGGTACTGGGAAAAAAAAAACCAAAAAAAAAATAGTTTTTGGAAATGGTAGTGCCTTGTATTTCACTTTTTACATGTTTAGTGTGTGTGTTCACATCTCATTTGAACTTCCTTCATGGTGAAGAAACCAAGATGTGTATTTTATCCTCGTTGACAGATTAACAAAAGTCACTGATAGTATGCCTCATTGTGCTAGAGGCAGAACTAGCATCTAAGTTTGTCTCGCGGTCTGTTGCTTTCTCCACACTGCTGCTTTGGAGGTGATCTTACACTTGGCACTATAGCATGGTTTTTAAAGAGCATTTTTCCCCAGTATTGACATTTGTGGTGCCCAGTAGTTGACTTTAGAGAAAGTACTGGAAAGATTGTTGAGTTCTTTCTAGTTCTTCTGTTTTTTCCTTTTTTAATCAGGTTCAACTCAGAACCAGGTAGGGGACATGGTGGGGAGCTAGAATGTGTTCTTCCCCTCTGTCCTTCCTGTCCCATGTCCTTCCTGGCTACTCTGGTTCTTTCTTTCTTTCCTTACCTGGGCTCTGAGCGTTCTAGGGATGCTTGGGGCTTCAGAGGTCCTTCTACCTCATTTCTTTTCTCTTAACCTAGGATCCCTAAAATTCGGTTAGGCACGGAACTAAGAGTTGACAGGAATTGTTTTCCCTCTCTCTGAGGCTGCTATTCCATCCCCTCCCCCGTTACTTTCTGCCACAG